TTTTTTTTTGCTGCATTTGACATCGCAGACCATATTGAACAGGTGATCGACGATGTCAAATGCAGCAAATATTTTTTGAAATGTTGATCATTCTGTTTGTTTACTACTTAAATGAAAACACACAAAACGTTCTTCAAAAATACATAACTGCTAACATTTTTGTTTGCTTTTTAGAAGATAACCTGAGGAAACGACATCATTATGTCAAGTAATCAATTAGAATAAGAACACCGCATAGCTGTCAAAACTGACGACATTAAAGTAAAATGTGGCGCCAAATATAACAGTACTTATCATCGCATTTCTGTATACAGTGACCTTTTCGTCCTCCCAGATATTTGTAAAAATCAAATGAATAAGAAAAACAGTTTCCCGTTGAAACCACTTGTATCTCACTCGTATGGAAGAATATAACATGCTGACACGTGAAAAAATGTCGGTATTCTACTCGTAAGATATCCATGGTGATAAACGGGCAACCATTAACTATCTCCAGAACAACAATTTATCAACGTAACACATCTTCAGATAAAACTGTGATCCCTTTGGACCTATCCGAATGACGTTAGAGTGTTGAAGAATCAACCAGACTTGCCATGTTTTACGAAGGTTTCATATAATCTCCGTGATTTCATCTTGATGAAAGCTCGCCAATACACACTTGATATCAGTTTAAATTCCCCCTTTGTGAAGTGAATGTTACCTTAAATAACATGAGCAATACTGAACAGGAAATACGGACGTGCGTCACATGGGGATTGGTCATCAATTTTGTAGCAAAAATAATTCTCAAATGTTTATAAATTTAAAATTATTATTAAAAACGTATTTATTTTGAAATTTATCACCATCAGATATCTCTTAACCGCGGCAGAATAATCAGGAACTAGTTTACCACGACACCATGAGACTAATTGCAGCCATTTCACCCTGCAATCATATCTTGTATACTGCCGCGATAGTAATGAGTCCCTCGATCATTTCAAGAGATAACATGTATACGCGTATTAATCTCTTATCAATGAAGCTCGAATGGCATCCCACAGGCACATGATCATCTAACCGCACGTGCAAGGGTCAAAGATAGCATTTTAAACGCCGGCATAGAAGTAAGGGTTGACTAGTACTTTATTGAAATGATAACATGTACAGAACAATACTAAAACAGGGAATCTTGTACTGAAGTATAAAACAGCAAATACATCGTTACGAATTGAAAAGTATTTAGTAAAGGTTTATACGAAAAGAAAAGTAGTTTTGTGATACTATCTGGTACTATGACTCTTTTGTACTTGAGAATTGTAAAGGTTTATGTCTAAATCAGTGATGGTATGCAACCGTTCTGTTCGAACATATTCACATGTCTTAGAGATTTATTTTAACTACTTGACATATAACCGTAAGGTTTTCAAATATGCATTTCTGTCCTTATATTTATCTGTCTTTATTGTTTATTTAGTACATTATAAAACAACAGTTTTATTGTACGATGGTTAAATATTTTTTAGGAATGTTGGGTGCTCATTTTTTTATGATTTACTACTAATTGGCTATATTGTACGATACTGTAAACAAATTCATATCAGCCTTCAAAATTTTGTGTTAAAGATCACTGTGCCGCTGCAGTCGTTTCGTATATACAGTAATGACCTCCCTTTAAGCCCAGTCACACCGGATCGTACGATCGTTCGACTGGTGGCAATTTGGCGGAGGTACGATCAATCGGCAATGTTTGCTACGATCTCAATTGGCGACCGTATACTGCGATTTTCTTAAGATTGGTGGTAGGTCATCGTAAGACTGGTGGTACGAGTTGGCGACCGATCACCAACGATTGGAAAAGATCGATCGCAAGATCAATCGTAAGTAATCGTGCGATTAGTCGTGGCTATCAGCGACTGATCATAGATTAATCGTGACCATCTAGGAGCGTTCGCGCGAGCGATTGCAAACAATTGCAGCAGATCGAAGCCAGTCGTGCGATGGTTCGCTCGATCAGATATAAAGGTTTGTATTCGGAGCCTAAAATGCCACATCTGCCCTGAAACACTTATCAATAATCAACTTTTATAATTTTCGATATCTTAGCGCATCAAAGAAAATGCAGAAGGCCCAGAAATATCAATATCAACGAAAAAACAGGTTTACAACACACGTATGAGAGCATGCTCATATCGACTTCATCCGGTTTACGTGCGAACCGCGCAAGCTTATATTAGAAATCGAAAGAGTTTGTGAACACGTCGCCCTTTAATTATTACTTGTTATCTTGGTACTTTGCTCCGTTTGTTGTGAGCTGAGCTTATTCTGTAGTAGTAGCCATCTTGTATTTTAAAATACAAGATACAAGAAACTTTATTTTGCATATCAGAGCACCTCAACACATAAACACTCAATTGGTATATTTTGTTTGTTTATTTACTCAAGTGGATTGCCTAGGTACATTCATAACAAAGAAAGTTTCCAGAAAAGTTTTGCTAACCATTGATTCGAAGAAATTCCGAAGCATACGTATGAAAAAGCACAGAGACCTGACAATTTGTTACGGCTATATTTGTACCTAAACTAATGTGTTCAGAGTAAATTTACATGTTTTTAGGCGTTTTCATCGACTTTCGGTAAAAAAAAATGCCACCCCCAATATGCTTATATATATTTACTGAAAGTCGTTCTAGATCCCTTAACATCTTACATTACTCTGAACACCAGGTCCCTGTGATGAAAAGTACATCAGTCGTCCGCTTGGAAACCACTAATTCAACTTGCCTACACTATTGCACAAGTTTATCTACTCCGGTAATAAGTTTACATTCATTCAGCATGTCGTATACAAATATGTTGAGTTTCTGTTTTAGCCTCAATTTGACCTATATTTTGAGTTTCTGTTTTAGCCTCAATTTGACCTATATTTTGAAGTATGAACGGGTTTGTTATCTCATCATGATAAAATGACTATGCTGAGTTTCTCATGATGCAGGAATTAGCATTTTGCATCGTACGGATCATAATTGCATGGCCCCCTGTGTAGTTGAAAATAAATTATATCACGTCGCTTAAGTACATGCAAATCTTTTCCAACATTGAGCTATTAGTGTCGTTTTTTCCTGCATTATCACATAGATAGTTAACACTTTTTTTTATATATTTCTAGTTGCACACATGCGGAATGTATCTTTATTGCACAGAAAACCAATTAAGCTCGATATTTCTTATCGGCAATCATAAGAGAGGCCATTCCAAGGAGTTCCTCTACAGGAATAAATCTAGGGGTGCACGAAGAGGATACTAAGAAATCAGTTATTACGTCGCCAATAGTTTTGGTGGGTAGAAATACATCCTCAAGCGCGCGTTGGGGAAAACGAGTGCTATCTTTGACGTCATTACAAGAAAAATCAATATTTTTTATTTTCAATTATATGCAAATTTTATATTCTGCAAAACACGTTACTGATAATTATTTTGAAACATTGTTTAATTTCCTTCTCTGGCAATCAAACGACACAACTGATTTGAACAAAAACAATGTCAAGAAATAGATTAGCTCACGTGACCATAACGTAAAATGGCGCTAAAATGTGTAGAACCCGTTCTCGTTTCAAATAATTGATATGAGAAATGAACAAAAAAAATACAAACAAATTTGACTTCCGGATACAAGGATACACAAATGTGATTAATTTGTCTGATAATGTCTGAAGTGCAGTATCGAATTTGTCATGGACCATCTTCAAAATTGGCGTGCAACTGAAATAGGAATCATCGGCTGTGTAACAAACTCGCTGTACTACTGGAATGAGATTTTTCATATTTGAAATAAACCTGTTGGTATCACTAGGGTAAGATTCACCGGATATGTTATAAACTGACTTTATCACTTTCGTAAAATTTGCCAGGTATAAAAACTAGGTGTTAACAAACAAAACGTGACAGCAAGTTTTGATTTTTACTTTTGGTTCTATTGATTAAGCATACACTTATGAAAGTAACCACGAACTGGAAACTTATTAAACATATAAGTGAAATAATTCTTCCCCGTCATTTGTTACAAGAAATTAGTTTCGTCCTCAATGTCGTTAACGATGCAACGTACACAGATGTTGAGATCAAGGAACATTTCGATATCGACCCGTCTCTATCACAAGTCTATGTACACAGATGTTGAGATCAAGGAACATTTCGATATCGACCCGTCTCTATCACAAGTCTATGTACACAGATGTTGAGATCAAGGAACATTTCGATATCGACCCGTCTCTATCACAAGTCTATGTACACAGATGTTGAGATCAAGGAACATTTCGATATCGACCCGTCTCTATCACAAGTCTATGTACACAGATGTTGAGATCAAGGAACATTTCGATATCGACCCGTCTCTATCACAAGTCTATGTACACAGATGTTGAGATCAAGGAACATTTCGATATCGACCCGTCTCTATCACAAGTCTATGTACACAGATGTTGAGATCAAGGAACATTTCGATATCGACCCGTCTCTATCACAAGTCTATGTACACAGATGTTGAGATCAAGGAACATTTCGATATCGACCCGTCTCTATCACAAGTCTATGTACACAGATGTTGAGATCAAGGAACATTTCGATATCGACCCGTCTCTATCACAAGTCTATGTACACAGATGTTGAGATCAAGGAACATTTCGATATCGACCCGTCTCTATCACAAGTCTATGTACACAGATGTTGAGATCATGGAACATTTCGATATCGACCCGTCTCTATCACAAGTCTATGTACACAGATGTTGAGATCATGGAACATTTCGATATCGACCCGTCTCTATCACAAGTCTATGTACACAGATGTTGAAATCATGGAACATTTCGATATCGACCCGTCTCTATCACAAGTCTATGTGCTGATACCATCTTTGAAAATTTCCCGCATTTGAAACCAGTTATCTGTTTAATTTTCCTACATTCACTTCTAAGCAGATAATTTAAATTGGAAATCACGTGTTAATTTCTCAATTACATCCAACTTAATATCCAAGAATGCTATTACACTTACACCAAGAGTGATTTTGTTTTTGCTCAGAAAATTGAAGCATCCTATATAGCTTCTGATAATAATGAGGATGATAATAATACTGGGTGGTTGGGTGGTGCAGTCGATATTGCACTCGCCTTTAACTAAGGCGGCCGAGGATCGATTTTCCGATCGAACGTGAAAAGGTATGGGTTCACCTGCCCGACCGAATTGGTTTTCTCCGGGTACTCCGGTTTACTCCCACATTAAGACACCCAGCGTGCTAATTACATCCGGTTGGCAAATACATTTTAAAGAAAACGGTGGCCAACTGAATCATATTTATTGCTATTAATGTACGCTCAATGTTGAATCATTACGTCTTTATAAATACAATTTTTTTTAAGTTGAGGCCAGGTGTAGAACACTTCTCATGTCATATAACGACATCCATTCTCTTATGTGGGAGGAATGCTTGGAAAAAATCAGAATTCTTCAAAGTGAAATCTATACAAAAATACTAAACAAAAAGGTACTTAAAAAGGTTTATTGATAATCAGTACTAGGAAGAATTTGTAAGAATTCGAATATCTTCTCACAAACTGAGTACTGAAACTGGTAGGTATACCGAGATATTGAGAACAGAAATATAATTTGTTTGTTTTGTGTCTTTAAGGATAAACTGTATGTGTCTTAAATGATGTACCGTAGAAGATGGACTTCATTTTGTTTTAAAAAGTCCGTTTTTTGCCGATTCACGAAAGTCCTTCCTTTAACTTAGCTATATCCGACACAAGTATGTATATGTACAAATATAGAAAAATTATTCATGAAAAAGACGACAAAATGTATAAAAATAGGTCAATTGTATCTAGTGATTGTCAGTAATATATTAACATGTCCTTATTATAAAATGTTATTATATTGCTAAGTACATTGTTTCTTAGCTAACTTCTTTTTCAGGTGTGGCTATAATGCACAGCTGAGAAAGGACTATTTAAGTAAATATATTCAAAACTATTCTATACCAGACACAAATAATTTAACACATATTTTATCTTCTGACAATATGCAACTTATACTTGACTCGTGCTTATATATAAAACAGTCACTTAACTGAGGAGTGTGGGCCTGGCTTCTGTGTAAGTTTATACATTGTTCACTATTGCAGTTTATTTGTATATTTGTTGTTTCAATATTTGCCTTCAAGTTACTATGTGACTATAAATGAGCAATACAATTATTGAATTGAATTGAATTTCCTAGCAGTACAATGTATCACCCTACACATCAAGGCATAGGTGCAGATGTGTTGTGTATGTTTGATGTTGTTGTTGTTGTTGTTGTTTTGTTTTCTGTCATGTTCCGCTTGATTTATGCACTATTGGCGAACTTTATAAAGTACACGATAACGTACTATAAATGAAGTTCAACTTGAAGGAGAGTTCCTGCAATTCAGTTGTTTTCAGCAAAGTGTGCTCTGTAGCTAAACATGCTATCCCGTCGCGATGAAATCATCCCGTTCGAACTCGTCATGACCGATGGAATTCGCGTAGATATAATTCTACACAAAAACTATAACATAAACAAACTCTGGTATGAACTTTAAAGCTATCTGTACCATTCCGCCTGATCTGTACTTAAATGCCTATTCGAACATGTTTGGTATACTTATATTTGTGTATACGATATAAATATATCTATATAAAAATAGAAGTTAAGGCGTACGAGAAGTTCACGGCAGGACACCTACTCCAAAGATTAAATGTACTACTCCCGACCGAGGAACCTTTACCGCGTGGTCTGTTGGGGTTACAATTTAGGTCACAGTATTATTATCATGTGTGTTATGACAAATATGAAAACAGTATGGAAAGAGAAAACAGGTAAAACATAAAGGAAAAATACCTGTGCCAATCCAAGTTCATCATGCCAATCATTGTCTATCTGGCTAGCTACCTCACCCTATTAAACATAGTTGTTTTTATTTTTTTAATATTTTATTTTTTGTTAAACCAACTACAGAAGAATGTCTTATTTTTCTTCCTAACACAACGATAAGGTTACATGTACCTAGAATAGGATGGATAAACAACACAGAAAGAGTGTCTAGCGAGTGCTTTGTAAACGTTGGAACAGAGAGTGGTTATGTTTAGCGTATATTTCGCGGATTTTACTGCTTTTCATATCCAAAAATGACTTTTACAAAACAGGTGATCTGGGTTTTTGGTTATTTGTTTTTGTTTTTGTCTTTAACTCTTTTTCCTTGATTGTTCATAAGTGTCAGATGTATGCAAATAAAGAAATAAAAACAAGATAATACAATTGCATTATTAAACTCAATTAAAAATAAATTAAAAATTTAAACGTATATATAACTCTACATTAGTAATTTGGGGAGGGGGCAAGGTTGCTCGGAGGATAATTAACATACTGCCATATTAAGAGCTAACGCCACTTTTCACACGCGGGCAGTCCCCTCGAGCAGACGATTTGGTAATATTTTTACATAGTACTATATTTCAACTCCAACGAGTTCTCCGATGGGGGTTGAACGCTGGACATTATGGTATCAGGCATATCTCCTTACATACACAACACACTCGTGCAGCCTGAGACTTCATGCTGAACACGTGTGGTATCACATTTAAATCTCCTTAAGCGATTATATGCTATTAATTATGACATCAAACTTAACTATAAATATGACGTCATTTCATCGTTACATTACGTCGAATATTTGCATACGTTCTTTGTATCAAATTAATGAAACGCGCTGATATAAAAAAATAAATAAGGTTCATTCATATAAGTGATAAGTCCTTTTATTGCAAAACTTTCTTGCAATGCAGAATGTGACGTCATATACAATATATATTATTTACAATGTGTAGTACATACATGGTACGGTACCATGTTGCGTTCCAAAGTGTGACGTCATAGTAAAGACTATTGAAATGACGTCACGAACCTTTTGTCAACATATTACATCAATAAACAAACACACAAGGGTTTAGGTACTCACCACTTCCAACCAAACATTCGTTGTCAGAATCTGATTTTTCTCATCCTGAAATATAAAACGAAACAATACCGTTGAAAAGAATATACGCTACCCAACTGTGTGTAATATGATTACAGAGAGATAGAAGATAATTATCATTTTGTATTGATTTGTCATTTTCATAACGATTTAAGGCATAGATTAATAAAAAAATACATATACTATTACAGAAACCCCTCCATTTTTAAATTAATACAACTCCTTAGTATAAAAAATGATAGAGAGCTATCCAATTAAGGAAACTATTTATATCTAGCATGTAAAAGACGTTAGTTGTAGGTTTATGTATTGTGGTGTTTCGTAACTGTAATGTGTTCATTAAGTCTTGTTAGATTTCGGAATGTACATCTTTGAACAGTGTCTTATGCATATTGTGATGTCACTTTCCTGTCCGTTCTATTATATTTCGCAAGAATGTTAGTATATGTACATGTAAATATGTATGTCCTATAAGCCTAAGGGCTTTTGGTTAATACCGAACCTGAATCTGAATAAGTGAAATTTGTCTCGTTTTAAAATTAATTCTATTATAAAAACTATGCAGAAAAAAAAATGTTTTCTGTGAGTGTTTAACATGCTCATTCGTATAAAAACGTGACTTTGTATGATTATTGTCATTATAACTGCATACAAAAATATTAAAATTAAATATATATATATATATATAGATGGATGTTAATTTAGACTTCACAATTTAATAACATACATGAGAAGTCATTAGAAGGTTTGAATGATAACACTGAAGTAATTAAAACTCTCACAAACCACAGGTATAATATGTAAGGTAGCATACAACCTTAACTCTAACACAAATAACAGGTATAATGTGTTATGTAGCATACAACCTTAACTCTAACGCAAATCACAGGTATAATGTGTAAGGTGGCATATAACCTTAACTCTAACGCAAATCACAGGTATAATGTGTAAGGTGGCATATAACCTTAACTCTAACACAAATCACAGGTACAATGTGTAAGGTAGCATACAACCTTAACTCTAACGCAAATCACAGGTATGAAGTGTGAGGTGGCATATAACCTTAACTCTAACACAAATCACAGGTACAATGTGTTGGGTAGCATACAACCTTAGCTCTAACACAAATCACAGGTATGATGTGTAAGGTGGCATATAACCTTAACTCTAACACAAATCACAGGTACAATGTGTTGGGTAGCATACAACCTTAACTCTAACACAAATCACTGGTATAATGTGTAAGGTGGCATATAACCTTAACTCTAACGCAAATCACAGGTACAATGTGTTAGGTAGCATACAACCTTAACTCTAACACAAATCACAGGTATGATGTGTAAGTTGGCATAGAACCTTAACTCTAACACAAATCACAGGTATAATGTGTAATGTAGCATACAACCTTAACTCTAACAAAAATCACTGGTATATTGTGTAAGGTAGCATATAACCTTAGGTCTAACAAAAATTACAGGTATAATGTGTAAGGTAGCATATAACCTTAATTCTAACACAAATCACAAATATAATGTGTAAGGTAGCATACAACCTTAGGTCTAACACAAATTACAGGTATAATGTGTAAGGTAGCATATAACCTTAACTCTAACACAAATCACAGGTATATTGTGTAAGGTACATGTAGCATAAAACCCTAACTCTAATACAAATCACAAATATAATGTGTAAGGTAGCATACAACCTTAACTCTAACACAAATCACAGGTATAATATGAAATGTAGGATGTAACTTTAACTCTAACACAAACGATAAGTATTATGTGTAAGGTAGCATATAACCTTAACTCTAACCCAAATCACAGGTATAATGTGTTATGTAGCATACAACCTTAACTCTAACACAAATCACAGGAATAATGTGTTATGTAGCATATAACCTTAACTCTAACACAAACGATAAGTATAATATGTAAGGTAGCATATAACCTCAACTCTAACACAAACGATAAGTATTATGTGTAAGGTAGCATATAACCTTAACTCTAACACAATTCAGGTATAATTTGCAAGGTAGCATATAACCTTAACTCTAACACAAATCACATGTATAATGTGTTATGTAGCATATAACCTTAACTCTAACACAAATCACAGGTATAATGTGTAAGGTAGTATATAACCTTAACTCTAACACAAATCGCAGGTATAATGTTTAAGGACAAATACAATCTAAACTCTTACACACCCCTATGTGTAATGTGTAAAGTAACATATACCACTAACTCTTACAAATAACCACCAGCATATAGCTTAAACAAATCATCACAACTACACGTATAAACTGTAAGGTAAATGTGATGTAGCAGACATTTTAGTGGAGAATTGATTAGAGATTTTGGAATGCACCATGTTCTACGAGTTATTGCGACTCCAAGAAATAATAAAATATATCATAAACAATGGTGTAAGTCTTTAAATGTGTTCATTTTAAAATGAATGTTGCAAAAAGTAGGTATACCTTTCGATTTAGATTTAAAATAGCTCAAAATCAGCCCTGCTTGGAAATTAAAAAATGTTGATATTTTTTTTGTTTTTTTTGTGTGAATGCCAAATGTGTCATGCATGCACAAAAAGTACTGATACCATAGTTAATTAAATTAGTCACAGACAAATATTGCCATTTAGCTATTTGTAGTTTCTTTCTTCAAAAAGGCAAAAAAGAAAATCTTTTCAATCTGAGAGTGCTTTTAAGCTTCATATGATAATATTCAAAACAATGGTTGAAAAAACACTTTTTTTTGACAAATAAGTGTTGTTTTGAAATAGTGCTAATTTCAGACACGCAATGTGACGCTCAATGTTACACAAGAGTAAGATATTACACCTCAAAGTTTGCTGACTATGTCATAAATTTTCTTTGTCAAAATGGGATTGACGAAAATGGAAGATTATTCCCAAGTAAGATATCCATGTTGTAAATCAAATTAAATGCACCTACTCCAATACATTGGGAACAAATTATAATTGCAAGATACCGAGACAACCCCTGGTAAACAGATGGTCGGCCATAATTGAAGCGTTGTAATATATACTGAGATCTATGGCGGTGGTGTACGGGACTGTCTCGACAGAAGTTTTAGTTTAAGACGGAGACGAACATCCGGGTTTAGTTTTAAACATATGTATCAGTAGGTTGTATGAAAAGATAAAAAAAACTCAGGTGTACCGATAGGTTAAACTTTAATATTAACATAATCACTAGGATGAAATATTTGTTAAACCCCTTCTCAAACGAGGCTCGCTATAAAAATCACTTGTTGCAATGCATTTTTGAAGAATTACAGTTGTTAGAAATTTAGGTTTGTAGAATACATCACAGGTGCAAGTTACTCTAAGCTAGAAAAACTCCTTTTTGGGGGTTATTGCCTTTTCTTCATATAGACGGGAGAATACTCCAAGTAAAAAAACTCCCTGTGGAACTCTTCTTTGCAATTTAAATGATGAATTGGTACCCTTTACCTTAAATATAATGTAGTGAAATCAGCATAAAGTTATTCATAATTGTCTTGCTGCTATCTAGTGGTTTTTATCTAAATTCAACTGTTAATGTTTAAAAAAAGTAACAAATAAAAAAAAATAAGTAACAAATAAAAAAAAAATATCTTTTACACAAATTTTGAAACAATTTTTTTCAGCTTATATTAAGTATTCCTGTTGACCCGGATGTAAGCGCACATATGGCTTAATGTAGCAGGAAGAATTCAATGTGTCCGGAGAAAACCCACGTGGTCTCGCAGGTGACCCATGACCTTTTCATATCTGACCGGGACAGGTGTTATATCTATTATTAATTATATAAGCATTTGCTTATTTGGGGGGGGTATCTTCAGTTTCTTTTCCGCTGAGTGCATAAAAATAAAAATGAGCATCTGCTGGTTAAATATCTTAAACTGGACAATGGCGTGTATTTTGGTTTCAGTTAAAGCAATTTTTAAAATATCACACTTTAAACTTCAATGTGCTGTAACACTAAGTATACATGATACAGACGATCACAGGGCAACACGACCGCTTCTACGGGGATGTTTTGTTGCCATTTCAGCAGTGTGACGTGGATGATTGTGGTTTTTTTTACATATTCTAATTGCTAGGAGCGTTCATATCAGAATGTACGGTTACGCAAAAATAATAACTCTATACCACGATTTGCAATCTAATTCAAATTCATCTAGGAGACATTTCAAAACATAGTTGTTAGACACGTGTCCAGGTTTTGTATTAGACTTGAAGCAAATTCAATCAAAACCGAGCAAGCTTTAGCTTGAAACTGTAATACAATTAATATAATCGATGGCTGTTATCTTCCTCTGTTTAACTACTGCGACATATTCATTTGAAAATTGTAGTTTCTTGTCAGGGTTTTTAATATTTCGCTGATTTTAGAGTTGTTTTTGAGGTTTCAGTGGCAATGTTTAATTTAACGTGCAAAGAAATGTGTTGAAGACGAAATTGGAATAACAATGAACAGAAGAGGTCCTTGTTAAAAGGGATTCCATTCATAAAGGAAATATTTAAAAGAATATAAGTGTTTTGGAGGGAGTTGAAGCATTGCATCAATGCATGGCATTTTAACTCAAGGTAATTATATACCATATTATGTTATATGATATATCACAACACAAGTAATAACATAACAAAATATCACAACAAAGGACTACTTGATCACAAAATACCAATATTTTACGCAAAAATACAAAACTAAAATAGCACACACAAATATTTCAACTTTACAAATTAAAACACAAGAAGATATAAACAATATAAAAATGTGACACACCACAGCACGCCACAAGAACATCAGACATTAACGTCACACAACACATCACAATCCCAACACCAGAATATATAACAATACAATACAACACATTAACGTAACACAACACATCACAACACCAGAATGTATCACCATACAACACATTAACGTAACACAACACATCACAACACTAGAATATCTTACAATACAACACATTAACGTCACACAACACATCACAATCCCAACACCAGAATATATAACAATACAATACAACACATTAACGTAACACAACACATATCAACACCAGAACATATTACAATACAACACATTAAGTTAACACAACACATCACCACACCAGAACATATTACAATACAACACATTAACGGCACACAACACATCACAATCCCAACACCAGAATATATAACAATACAATACAACACATTAACGTCACACAACACATCTCAACACCAGAACATATTACAATACAACACATTAAGTTAGCACAACACATCACAACACTAGAATATCTTACAATACAACGTATTAACGTAACACAACACATCACAACACCAGAACATATTACAATACAACGCATTAACGTCACACAACACACCACAATCCCAACACCAGAATATATAACAATACAATACAACACATTAACGTCATACAACACATCACAACACCAGAATGTATCACCATACAACACATTAACGTAACACAACACATCACAACACCAGAATATCTTACAATACAACGTATTAACGTAACACAACACATCACAACACTAGAAAATATCACAATACAACGTATTAACGTACCACAACACATCACAACACCAGAACATATTACAATACAACACATTAACGTCACACAACACATCACAATCCCAACACCAGAACATATTACAATACAACACATTAACGTCACACAACACATCTCAACACCAGAACATATTACAATACAACACATTAACGTCACACAACACATCACAATCCCAACACCAGAATATATAACAATACAATACAACACATTAACGTCACACAACACATCACAATCCCAACACCAGAACATATTACAATACAACACATTAACGTCACACAACACATCTCAACACCAGAACATATTACAATACAACACATTAACGTAACACAACACATCACAACACCAGAACATATATCAATACAACACATTCACGTAACAAAGCTTATCTCAACACCTGAAAATATGACAAAAACAACACAAGATCATAGAGCATCAAAGAGTCATATTACAACAACATCAGTTTGAACACATTATCAGATTATCAAGTTTTGCCACGCAAAATCATTTGAAACAACAGACATGAAAGTGGAAACCGTTGGTCAATTTGATTATACAGTAAAACCACTTAACATTTCGTAATCTGAGCATCATAGTTTTATTTTACCACATGAAGAAATAGAACATGGGAACAATTATCACGACTAGTCTAATTAAACTTTTCTATGAGGCGCTCAACAGTCGGGGTCTCTGAAAAACAACACTGCAATACTCGATCTGTTCTATAGTTACAGATGAAAATGTCAACACAGCATCTGTAGCAGGAATCATGCCATTTAGTTCTACGTCTAATTTAAAGTAATGATGAAGCGATTAAAGTGCCTGTTCTAACGTCTATACCCGTTAGAGATTACACCCCGGGAGTCAATTGTATAAACGCGATGCTGAATAAACCTTCACTGGTATTGCCTCCGAGAGCGCACGTGCCGGCAGCAATCAATTTCACTGGAGTAGGTATCAACTGTCAGAACTGTAAGTAACGTCATTTCCAAACACTGTTTAATTATGTACATGTAGCAGAATATCGTCCGAGTAACTATCCTTCAAAAATTGGAATCAGAGGAGCGTCCCTTTTAAACATCAGTCTATGTACGTATAGCAGAATAATTGGAATCAGAGGAGCTTCCCTTTTAAACATCAGTCTATGTACGTATAGCAGAATAATTGGAATCAGAGGAGCGTCCCCTTTAAACATCAGTCTATGTACGTATAGCAGAATAATTGGAATCAGAGGAGCGTCCCTTTTAAACATCAGTCTATGTACGTATAGCAGAATAATTGGAATCAGAGGAGCGTCCCCTTTAAACATCAGTCTATGTACGTATAGCAGAATAATTGGAATCAGAGGAGCTTCCCTTTTAAACATCAGTCTATGTACGTATAGCAGAATAATTGGAATCAGAGGAGCGTCCCTTTTAAACATCAGTCTATGTACGTATAGCAGAATAATTGGAATCAGAGGAGCGTCCCTTTTAAACATCAGTCTATGTACGTATAGCAGAATAATTGGAATCAGAGGAGCGTCCCCTTTAAACATCAGTCTATGTACGTATAGCAGAATAACTGGAATCAGAGGAGCGTCCCTTTTAAACATCAGTCTATGTACGTATAGCAGAATAATTGGAATCAGAGGAGTGTCCCCTTTTAAACATCAGTCTATGTACGTATAGCAGAATAATTGGAATCAGAGGAGCGTCCCTTTTAAACATCAGTCTATGTACGTATAGCAGAATAATTGGAATCAGAGGAGTGTCCCCTTTTAAACATCAGTTTATGTACGTATAGCAGAATAATTGGAATCAGAGGAGCTTCCCTTTTAAACATCAGTCTATGTACGTATAGCAGAATAATTGGAATCAGAGGAGCGTCCCTTTTAAACATCAGTCTATGTACGTATAGCAGAATAATTGGAATCAGAGGAGCGTCCCCAGAGCAGTGTTAGTAACGTTCCTTCAAAAAGTGGAATCAGGGCATTGTCTCTATTAAACATTCGCATATGTACATGTAGCAGTGTGGCGTTTCTATAGTAACTGGAGCTGAATGACATTTTAAAACAGTTACATCAGTACATGCATCATTGTTACTTCTCTGTCCAACACTAGTTCATGCAGCAGAAAATCGTCCCTTTGATACATTCAACATTAAGAAGAGTGAATTTCCCTGTTTCCAGAACATTCAAACAAAAGTCAGTACAAACAAAATTCTTTGATACATGGATTCGGGACCCAAAACATAAATTCCTATTAATTGCTGCACACCATTGCCCCCACTGGTTTAGCTGACACAGTACTAATATGGAGGACATGGACGCCTTTCAGCTATAAATAGCAAAAAGCATAATTTGTATACTTACCAGGTCAAGAATCTGGGTCAAGGTCAGTCCGAGTTTGACCTCTACAGGCGAGGAGGAGTTGTAGACCGGACGAATGGACTTCTCGTAGCCGGCCATCAGGTACATCATCAGACGCTGTTCGGAAGACACATTCACAGTCTTGGTCAAAATCGGACAGTCTGCACCGGAAACAGAAATATGAGAACGTGTTAGATATACCGGAAATGACGATATATGTAGGTAGACGTTGAACATGCATTTGACATCATGCCGATTTCTCCCCAAACTAACAGGAACAGTTTTTCTCCACATTTGTGTTCATCCTTGTACATATATCTGGTATATAGGTATCTGGTCAAGATCTGTCCATGGCGTTTTACACGCAGAAATATGGTAGTCAAAACGGTATTGTGATTCAGCCTGTACGTACGATATGTGTTTTACAACTTGGTTGGTAAATAAATGCCAACTATACTGAATACCTGGTATTTTTTGCAGGGGTTCGATTTCGCTATATTCGCAGTCACCAATATAGCACAAAATTAAATATAAAAATGAAAGAAACGACCCGCTTACCGTTTTACTGACAATAAAAGACAGGTACAAATCCAATTCAATATCGCATTTTACGTGGTTTTTTTTATATAAAACTCTTGTAAAAAAGAAATGAAAATTCCATCACCGAAACATAAAAGTACACTCGTGACCTCTATATTTTGATCTGGCAATGGTGCGCGATGTTTAATATCCGCGAGTTATGACCGGGACAACCACAAAATATTAGACCGCGAAGTTAAATGACTCTACAGTTAGCAATACAGAGATGTTCAACGTGAGGGGTTTTCAAGTCGTGTAAATTCCGACACTTATCGGGACTTCTGAGCCGATTCGGAAACCAAGAGGATAGCATTCCCTTTTCTCATCCTCTCATTCTCATTCTCTCGGACCAGAACCATGTATGTTCTCATTCCTATCAGCAAAATTAACTCAAGAACCATGAAGAGGCGTCTCGAATAGCTACCATTTTAATAACATCAACTTTTCCCTTGAATATTTTGTACAATACCAGTCCTATCAGTGAAATCCACCTCAAGGGTGGTTACTAATTATAAACCAGTGGGCGGAGCTACTATAGTAGGCGGGGTACACAGGTAACAATGGCGGAGCTACTATGGTAGGAGGGGTACACAAGTAACAATGGCGGGGCTACTATGGTAGGGGGGGGACACAAGTAACAATTAATGGGCGAGCTTTTATGGTAGGCGGGGTACCCAAGTAACAATTAATGGCCGAACTACTATGCCCCGCGGGGTACACAAGTAACAATGGCGGGGCTACTAAGGAAGGCGGGGTACACAAGGAACAATTGATGGGCGAGCTATGATGGGTGGCGGGGTACACAAGAAACAATGGCCGAACTACTATGTTAGAGGGGGGACACAAGTAACAATGGCGGAGATACTATGGGAGGCGGGGGACACAAGTACCATTGGGGAGCTACTATGGTAGGCGGGGTAAACAAGTAACAATGGCGGAGCTACTATGGTAGGCGGGGTACACAAGTAACAATTAATGGGCGAGCTATTAAGGTAGGCGGGGTACACAAGTAACAATTAATGGCCGAACTACTATGGTAGGCGGGGTACACAAGTAACAATGGCGGAGCTACTATGGGAGGCGGGGGACACAAGTACCATTGGGGAGCTACTATGGTAGGCGGGGGACACAAGTAACAATGGCGGAGCTACTATGGTAGGCGGGGTACACAAGTAACAATGGCCGAACTACTATGGTAGGCGGGGTACACAAGTAACAATGGCGGAGATACTATGGTAGGCGGGGTACACAGGTAACAATGGCGGAGCGGGGTTAATATGGTGGAATGGGTTTAATATGTTGGAACGGAGTTTCTGGTGACATGTATGTACTATGATGGAGCAGGGTTACATTTCGGTACGATGATGGTGGAGAATTGGGGTGGGGGACGGGGTATTTGATAAAATGGGGAGTAGAGGTGTCACGTTAAGGTACTATAATGGGATGGGGCCGTAATTATGTTCTATGATGACGGGGAGGGGAGAAGTGGGGGAGGGGTGATATACTATCATTGGGCGGGGATGCATTCAATTACTATAATCGGATATCGAGGTGTTACATTCATGTACACTACTATAATGGGGCGGGACCATATTTACGTGATATGATGGTGTTGGAGGCTATATTCTATCATTGGGCGGGGATAGATCCATGTACATGGACTATAATAGGGTGTTTGGAGGTGTTACATGTATGCACTATAATGGGGCGGAGCCATATTTACGTGATATGATGGTGTTGGAGGCTATATTCTATCATTGGGCTGGGATAGATCCATGTACATGTACTATAATAGGTTGTTTGGAGGGGTTACATGTATGCACTATAATGGGGCGGAGCCATATTTACGTGATATGATGGTGTTGGAGGCTATATTCTATCATTGGGCTGGGATAGATCCATGTACATGTACTATAATAGGTTGTTTGGAGGTGTTACATGTATGCACTATAATGGGGCGGAGCCATATTTATTTAATATGATGACGTAGAGGGGCGGTTGTATGTACATTCATGTACTATAATCGGATGTGGGTGTGGAACATGTACTGTTTGTACTATTGCGGGCAATTTTGATAAAATCGGTCGGAATAAATCCGGTTAATGATAATTGATTTGGAAACGGAATGTCTTATAATTGAAATGCGTTCCAAAAGTGCATGTCCCTTGCCTTCACCAAGTTCATATCATACATACACATTGGGCTTACAACATAGAATTAATGATGAGATATATAGTCAAATTTCTTTGGTAAAAACCTTTCCTCATCACAAACAGATGGACGATTGTAATACGTTTTAAATCATCGTTCTCCTCGAGATCACACATGCGATCACTTGTAGTCCCGCTTAAAATGATCTCTAATGGTTTGATTTGAGCGAGAATCTGTGAAATACACACCAAATAGCCAAGGTTGTCGGAATACCTTCAGAGTTACCGGGAGATGTAAATCAGAAAATGACGACCATTAGATTAACATTAAGTCCTTTCTATGGCTATTATGGCAATCATAAAGCTTTTCTGAAGTGAAAAAGATTGATAGCAACTTATATTTGTATATCGTATGTGTATTAGAAATAAAACCCTCCGGCGGGAAGCTGTATGGGGGTGATCATGGTTGTTTTACGATAAATTGTGTTCTGCTATAAGGATTCAAAGTACATTTTTGCAAAGAATAGAAGTCACGAAATGCGTAAACAATATTTTGTTTTGCATGAAAATTCGTAAGTAGCATATATTTGTCCCTACATCTTCAATGACATGAGGCATATTCCGGATAAGTTGACCGACATATGTTTTATAACTAGTCCAGATTAATGAGTACATTATGTAAATTGGTGACCGTGACGTCTTAGCGTTGCATTTCAATTTCAATCAACTTTACACTATGATAGATATACCAGAGGATAACACAAGTGTGGGTGATTATTTATTTATTACACATATTATGACGTCACAGCATCACTTTAAAACACATCAGTTGTACATATCAGTACGACAAATCCTGACGGCGTCAGATTTCATTTGATACAAGATTTATGAGCAAACATTTCACGCGAGCCAAACACCTATTAACGACAATGAAATGGACATAACTAGACGTACTGAGGAGATTCAAAGCGTGCAGTTCATTTCGAAATGATTCCAGGTAAAGCTTTATTTAATTTCCTGTCAGGGAGCTAGAATGATAAACACGTGGACGGTATAACTTACATTAATAACATCCCTTTAGTATTTCTAGCCAAGTAACTGTGTGTTTTCCATAGCAATCTCGTATTAATCACGTCACGATCTGGTTGGAAACGTTGTGATAATGATACAACTAAATCAAGTGAAATTAGCACACATCTCGTTGAGATCTCGTCAAAATCTCATTAGGTAAGATGTTAACAATCTGCAAGTAATGCCCTCGTTATGACAATTTCTATTACGAAATAAAAATCGGGATAAAGTTTGATAGGAAAATGGATATTATTATATTTTATTTATCTAACAAAATATCTGAATGGATTGTATCGAGCACACGGAGTTCACATTACCTTACTCTATTTATCTTCAAGGTTAAAGGAAATATAATGTGTTTCTGATACATGAATGTGCATTGCATTTGTAGAAGGGACACATGTTTATTTGTATCCCTCGATAAACCATCAGTTACTGAAGCTGCGCTCTCGTGAAACATTATTAATCTAGGGGGGACAAATAAGAACAAATCAGAATCCTTGTTCCATAGATGTGCTTGACCCTGAATATAATTGACCGGGTATTAAACAAAGCGTAACCGAATATAATTGTCGGTTTGATCCATCATTTCGTACTTGTATATCTAAAACACTAGAGTATACATACCCTTACAGTGCAACCGAATCGACGTCGAATTTATATTGCCAACTTGTACTTTTACACATTTGTATATATATGCTTCATTAGTCATTTGTTTGATGAAGGTGGCAGAGTACATAACGTACTTATCATCAAAACGTCACATTTAAACAATTATCTGGTTGTGCTACATAGCTTTTACAATCCTAATTGAGCTATTTTCGTTTGTACAATGGTTTGAACTTGATTACCCATATTTTCAGACTTTTCTTTACAGTTAGCGCACCAGTAGTATTTTCTGATTAGCAAGCGATAAAGTGTACATGTGATGGAAGTAAAGCATGAATATTAGAACGTGGGATGATAATTAGCTATACACTGGATATGCGCAGCGTTGAATTTACTTTAGTATTTGTAAATGATGTATCGGGTTCTCACAAAGCTACAATTATTGATCGTCACAATGAACAACAAAAACAGCTTATAGTTCCATTACCATAATAAAACAAATATTCCGAAAACGAGGTTATAACAGGCTGGTGCATACAATTTTGGGAATTATAATTACAGTAAAACTAATGGAACGCAATTAACAACACTGAGTTTGATTGAAATCCAACAACTAGTATATTTAAGGAGGATTTTGTAAGTAAACGAAAACAGTAATAGACGTAAGGACAGAGAACACGCAATAACTTAAAAAAAACACTCTCCAAAATTATACGGGCTTGTAAATTTTGTAATTATTGAAAATTTGATGA